GGGCTGTTACCTATGCACCAGGTGCATCTCGCTGGGTTTTAAACACCAGAGGCTCAGCCTCAAAACTCACATCTACAAGTCACCACAGTAGGACAAACCGACAGACAAGTCTGTCCTGCTGTTGGAGACCTCTCGTATCCCCCCCACCTGGGTCCCTGTGGCTGACTGTTCCTCTGACTGGAAGCTATGCTATTGTATTTCAAACTCCAGCCCGGTCACCCATGGTAGACAGGTTTCAGTGGAGCTTCCAGACTCAGACGGATTGGGAGGAAAGTGCTGGCTCATTTTTTGATTCCAAAACTCAGCCAATGAAAACCTCACGGATCACAACAGAACACTGTCCGACTCACTAGCTTTGGACCCACCATCAGGAAGGATCAGTTGCTGGAGGAGGATGTGATGTCTGGTGAAGCAGAGGGCCAAGGAGGGGAAGAGAGGCACTTGGGCGGATGCACTGGCACGATACCCACAATACACTGGGACATGATGGTGATCGTGAGGATGATGCAGGGCCAGACACCATTTTGTCCTGTGTACACAGGGGCACCGTGACATGGAGTCAACTCAACAGCAACCAACACACACAAGACCCTCCCCCAATAAAAAGGCAACGGCTTCCTGTGGCTGTGCTCCCACTATGCGCCAGCACTGTGCTCAGCACTTCAGGTGCATACTCTAGGAGTGGGTACGTGCACGAGTCCTATTTTTAAAATGCATTTAATGACTCAGTTCATAGCTACAATTTCCATACTTCAAAGAGAGAGGGAAGCCTTATCCCTTTGGAGTGAAATCTCCAATCCTATCTTCTTTGCCCCTTTCCAAGAGAGAACTCCTGTTGACCAGATTGGGGAGAAGTCATCCACACCTTCTTTCTGGGAGGTTACAGCACATGCAGATCTGAACTGAAATTACGTAGGGTCTCCTCCTCCCATCCACCCATCCATCGATCCATTCTTTCACCATTCCTCTCTTCCTTCCCTCCCCCTCCCATCAACCCACCTACCCATCCATCCACCCACCCATCCACTCTTTCACCATTCCTGTCTTCCTTCCCTCCCCCTCCCATCCACCCACCTACCCATCCATCCACCCACCCATCCATTCTTTCACCATTCCTGTCTTCCTTCCCTCCCCCTCCCATCCACCCACCTACCCATCCATCCTTTCACCATTCCTCTCTTCTTTCCCTCTTTCCCACCCATCCATCCATCCACATACTATCATATTATAGTAGTTCTCATTCAGGGACAATTTTTCCCCTCAAGGGACATTTGGCAGTTTGGGTTGACACAAGTAGGGGACATCAAGTGGGTAGAGACCAGGGATGCTGTTCAACAGCCTGTAACGCCCAAGACCACCCCTACCATAAACAACTCTCTGGCCCCAAATGTCAGTAGTACCAAGGTTGAAAAGTTCTGGATAATACATTTCTTCCTGAAACCCACACTGTTCATTCAACACTAAGTCTTGGAGATCCTTCCACATAGGCACATCTGTTTTGTCATTCAGTAAGCACTGCTTGAGCACCCACTGTGTACTAGGCTCCATTCTAAAACAGGAGCTACACCAGGGAACAACACAGGCAAAGCTCCAGCTCCTGACAGGCACTGGCATCCCTGTGAAGACGCATCTATGTGCAAGAGTTCGATGGGTCCTCTCCTTTTTAATTGTTTCAGAGCATCCTCTGTAGGAAAGAAGCCCTTGTGACATAACGGGTAAGTTACCAAAAGGTTGTTAACCAAAAGGTTGGCAGTTCAAACTCGCCAAGTAGCTCCTTGGGAGAAAGACCTGGCAACCTGCTCCTGTCAAGATGACAGCTGAGGAAACCCTATGGGGCAGTTCCACTCTGTCACGTGGGGCTGCTGTGAGTTGGAGTTCACTCAACCACACATAGCAACGATCCCCGACACGGAGGGTCCACTGTTCGTTTAGCCAACCTCCCACTGACAGACATCAGATTGCTTTCAGTTTTGACACTATCACACGCATGTCACAAAGGACCGTGCCTGATGCCTGCATGTGGAAGGTCCCCTGGGGCTTTGCTAACTACACGAGCAACGTCACCTGGGAGCCATCAGCCTGATCCACATACGGAATCAGCACCTGTGTCTTGACCACACCCCTACGATACGAAAGCATGAGACGCACTGCTCTGGAGTACCACCTAAAGGGGCCCACGGGTCCAGGCACCGCACACTTTTTCATTTCAACAGATGCTACAAAAGTGCCCTCCCAAAGGCCCTCCCGCCAGCTGTCCACAAACGCCCCTCCTGCACACCCTTTCCTACTTTGTCTTCTCAGATGTCCCCGTTTCTGCCCAGCTGAAGATCCCCATTTTCCAGATGAGGACACCGGGGCTGCTGAAGCGTCTGGACAACAGAGGCTAACAAGTTCCCCACTCTGGCTTTTAGGGTTTGGCCCCCGCCCGGGCAGCTCATGTGCCAGCTTCCTGCCCAACCAGTCTGGCTGCCAGGAGGTGGCTCAGAACAGGAAGGCTGAAAGGTTCCCATTCACCTGGCAAAGGAAGGAGAGTTCCCACGGGAGGACCAGGCATCTGTGAGCATCCTGTCCTGTGCCCTTCCATGTCCAGCCATGCAGTACCACCTAAAGGGGCCCACGGGTCCAGGCACCGCACACTTTTTCATTTCAACAGATGGCTGAGGCGAGGGCCAGGCTTGCCTCTTGTCATCCGTAAGAGGTCACACCAGGGCTCTGGGGTGAGAGCGAGGATGGAGGTTGTGCCGTGGAGGGAAAGAGCTCAGGAGCCAAGGAGTCCAGTGCAGGTGAGGGCCCGGCCCTACCTTTCAACAGCTGTCTGCGCTTAGCTCAGCTTCTGCCCCAGAAACCCAGCTCATCCCACTCCCCCTGCAGACACCACACTGAGGGACAGGATCCACCAACAGCAGCTGCCACAGAGGCCCTGCCTGGGGCAGTGGTTAAGGGCTCAGCTGCTAATCAAGAGATCAGTGGTTCAAACCCATCACCTTCTCCAAGGGAGAAAGATATGGCAATCTTTTTCTGAAAAGATTTACAGCCTCAGAAACCCTATGGGGGCAGTTCTACTCTATCCTACAGGGTTGCTATGAGTGAGAATTGACTTGACAACGGTGGGTTTGGTTTTTTGCTTCTTAAGCTGGCCTCTGTCCTTTCGTTCAACTCCCTTCATCTTCTGAGCAATAGGTCCTCCTGTCCTGGATGGCTGGACACGAATAGCACTGTTGGTACCTACTTGACAGATGAGGAAATCAAGGCTCAGAGAGGTACACGGGCCTGCTCTTGCTCACACACTGAGATATGGCCTTGGAGTTTCAAGGTCAGTATTCCTCATCTAAATTCTGCCTCAGATGAGCTGTGTGACCCTGGGCAAATTGCTTCACCTCTCTGAGCCTCAACCGCCTCATCAGAGAAAGAAGGACATGACATAGAGACAAGGGACAGGAAGCCACACTGCAAACTAGAGGATACCCCCTCCCAGGGGACCATACTGCCACCACCCAAACACCCAGCCCCGGAAAACCCGTCATCTGTGGGCATTTCTGAACAACATGGGCAAAGCCATGCAAAGCTGGCAGATCCCAGAGAAAGAATGTCACTAGCTCAAGGTCACACACTGGGAAGCAGTGGAGAGTACAGCCAGGCAGTCAGTGACGGGGTATCTGACCTGAGTGGGGTGCAGGCAGCAGCCAACATGGAGGTGAGGGCCAGGCTTGAGCCGGGAGGTCACTAGGCAGCCCCATACAGGTGGTCTCTCCCCCTTGCCTGTGAGGGCTGTCTGAAGCAGAAGCCTGCCCTGGAGATGTCCCTGCCTCTCCCCTAAGGCTCCTCCTGCACCTGGGCCCAGCTTGGTCATTGCCTGTGGACTGGCAGAGGGCATCACCTCTCCAAGCAATAGGTCATCTCTCTGCAAGCTCCAGCTATCATGGCCACACAGTCTCCCTCCAGCCAGCCCTGCCGTGTCCTCTGTAAGTGACCCTCACACCCCTCAGCCAGAGAACACTGCTACCACGAAATGTGACCAAGTGGCCCCTGCCTCAAACCCTCCCAGAACCCTCGGCCCCAGGAAACATCCCAGCTCCTACCATGGTCTGTCATAGCACCATCCAACAGAAATCTAATGTGGCCACACATGGGACTGTCAACGCTCCAGTAGCCACATGAAGCAAATAAAACGATGCAGGTGAAATCAAATAGAATAGATTTTATTTAACCCAACATATCCTAAATATTATCTTTCAACATGGAGCCATATAAAAAAATACTGAGATATTGTATATGTTTTTATTTTTTGTACTAAGTTGTCCAAATCTGGAAATATCTGGTAGAGAACATGTCCATCCGGACGTGAAATTTTCATCAGAAATATTTGATCTATAGTTAGATTTCCAAAAACCTACTGTTGAGAAAAAGTACCTTCCTGCACCCAAATTGTTCCAAACATACTTAAAACGTTTCCAAGAACAGAACCGAGCATTCATTTTTAAATTGAAATTGATTTAAACGAAACACTCAGTTCCTCAGCTGCACTCGCTGGCTCTCTAAGGTTCAGCGGCCTTGTGTGACTCGTGGTCCAGTATCGGACAAACAGGGTCATAACCTCCTTACTTGTCTGGACCCTACCGCGTGCTCATGCCACGTTTCTAGAACCTTCCTTGACACCCTAGTGGAATGCTGGAGCGTAGAGCACTTCCCACTGCAAAGCTTTTTACTCACGCTATTCCATGCCCCAGGGAGCTCTGGTGGCGTAGCGCCTAAGGCATCTGACTGCTAACCAGAAGGCTGGTGGTTCAAACCCACCAGCCACTCCTCGGAAGGAAGGAAGACTGCGCAATCTACTTCTGTAGTGATACCGCCTCAGAAACCCAAAGAGGGGTCGCTATGAGTTGGATCCAGCCCAGCGGCAGTGAGTATTCCATGCCCTTACCCACCTTCCCTGCTTCCTGCCAGTTCCCACTCCTTCCTCCAAGATTCAGCTCTGGATCATCCACTCTGCAAAGCCTTCTCTGATGGCTCCTGGGTGGATAACGCCATGGTCCCTCTGCTTACACTGTGTCATAATTGTCCACCGCTGGGTTTCTTGGTCTCAGTACTAATGACACTGGGCCGGATCATTCTTTGTGGTGGGGGACTGTCCTGTGCATTGTACGATGTTGAGCTGCACCCTTGACCTTGATGCCAGTAGCACCCACCCACCCCGGATGACCAAGTGTCCCCTGGGAGCACAATCACTCCTGTTCTGTCTCCTGTCTCCAGTGCCTGGCACATAGAAGGCACCTAAGCCTGTTGCCTGAACAGAACAAGTCAATTCTATTCCATCATGAACCACTGTGAGGCTTACCTCCTCCAAGAAGCCCTCAGGGATACCCTAGCCCAGTCAATGCATCCCTCAGGCTCTCACAGCCCCCTACACTCACCTCAGATACAGCCCCCTCTGGTATACAGTAGGCACTTAATATCTGTGGAACTGACTTATGAAACAGGGATGACTTAGGTTGAAAAGTCCCACAGGGGCAGTTCCATCTGTTCTCATTCAGGGCTTTCTCATCCCAGCAAAGGGGCTAATGACAGATAGTTTACACACCAGGCACTGAGTTGAACATTCAAACTCCTGGTTCCTTTTGCTTTGATCCTTTGATCCTCTTCCTACTGATCAAAAGCAAGTACACAGGGAAGAAGATATTTACAATATACATATCAGACAAGACATCTGGATCCACCATATATAAAGAACTCCGTGGAATCAATAAGAGAAGGGCAGGTAACACAATAGAAAATGGGCAAAAGTCTTGAGCAGACATTTCAGAAAAGAGGTTATCAATTAAACATATGAAAGGGCACTCAACTTCCGGATTCATCAAGGAAACAAGTGAAAATTAAAAGGATTTGTGGGACCACATACACCCACCAGAAAAGCTCAAGGGAAAATAAAAAAAAAAGAGTTGGCAAGAATGTGATGCAACCAGAACTTTCAAACTCTGCCGGTGGGAGATAACCTAGCACGATCACTGTGGAAAAGTCTTTGGTGCACCGAGACAGAAGCTGAGTATGCACCTTCTCTGTGACCCAGCAATGCTACTAGGTAGATCCATCAGAAAGGCATCCCACTGTTCAGCAAAAGACGGACCTGGAGAAGTTCCCAGCAGGGCTCTGCTTAGACACCACTCAAACTCCAGTAAACAACAAAAAGGACCACAAGTAGATACAAATAAATAAGTATGTGCTAGATAGCCAGGAAGAAGGACAAGCCAGAACAGTACGCGACAACACGGATGAATCTCAGAGTTATTACGCTGACTGAAAAAAGCCAGCACAAAGGAGGACATACTGCATGCTTCCAGGTACCTAAAGCACAAACCAGCACCCACGCACCAGCTTGTTCTAATGTGGCAGCTCATATGCCGCTATGATACTGGTGCCATGCCAATGGTATTTCAAACACCAGGAGGGTCCAACCATGGTGGACCGGTTTTAGTGAAGCTTCCAGAATAAGACAAGGAAGAAAAGACCTGGTGATCTCCTTCTGGAAATTACACAGTGAAAACCGTATGGCCCACAACAGAACGTTGCCCAACGTAGTGCCAGGAGATGATCCCCCTACATGGGAAGGGGCTCAAAACACAGTGGCAACAACGGACGCAAGCATGTATGTCAATGACTGTGAAGGTGGCCAAGGACCAGGTGACCTTTTGTTCTGTTAGACATTAGGTCACCGTGAGTCAGAGCCAAACTCACTGGCAACTAACACGAGTAACAAAGTACAACAGGCAAAACTGACCTCTGCTGGGAGACGTCAGGTGGTGGCTACCCTTGAGGCGGGGTGACTGGAGAGGACAGAAGACGACTCTGGGAGGGGCGCCAGGCACGATCTTTTTGATTGGGGTGCTGGTCCTGTGCGCATATTCATCTTTGGAAAATTCATCCTATGGGCATATTCATTTTTGGAAAATTCTTGGAGCTGTCCATTTCTGATGTGTGCACTCTCCACATACCACACGTTTATACATCATACGCATATATATGTTAGACTTCAATAAAAAATTGTTTGAAAGACCTATACTCACAAAGTGTGAGTTTTTGAAATGATTTTTATTGAAACAAAATAAATGGAATGGTGTTGCTGGCCGAGTCTCCTCCCAGCCACACACCTTTCCCATCTGCCCCAGAAGAACATAAGACCACATTCACTGAATCCATCAACACTCACCAGCAGGAGGTCTCGCAGGGCCAGAGTCAGTGCCAGACGCCAGGAACATGAAGGTGAGTTGAGCCATGGCCTCCGATCATGCCACCCACACCCTGGCTCCTGGCACAGACAACCTTAAACCCACACTCAAGAAACGAGCAGTCAGTCCAGGGCAGCTTTTGATCGGATGCCAACAAGGTGATGTCTGCCTGTCTTCCTCTCTCTGCCACCCCACGGTACAAAAAAGTTTTTGGACTTTTTCCTTAGGCTGGGCCAACCCTGGCCACCCTGGCCCAGGTACCATGCGTTTCTTTCTCTGTCACTGGTCTCTGCTGTCATCTCCCTTCCCTCTGCCCATGGGATGTCGGCATCCCCTCAGAGCTCCCACCCAGGGTCTTTGCTCCCTCCCTGCAGGATGAAAATCTCCCCAGATTTTCATCTCCAGCCCAAATATCTCTCAGATATCAACTGTGTAGCCAAGATGTCACTTTGATGACAAAAGTGTGCCTGACCCAAGCCATGGTCTTTGCAATCATGTCACATGCATGCAGAAGCTGGACAATGAAGGGGAAGACAGAGGAAAAACTGAGGCATGGGAATGTTGTAGGTAATGAATACTGAATACACCGTGACTGCCAGAAGAACAAACAGGTCGTTCTTACATGAAACACCAGAAGGCTCCTCAGAAGCAAGGATGGTGAGACTTTGTCTTCCTTACTTTGGACAAGTCATGACAAGAAAGACCGATCACTAGAAAAAGACATCATGGTTGATAGAGGGTTGGCACAAAGGAGGGGAATCACAATGAGATGGATGGACACAATACGGCCTCAAAGACAGCAATGATCGTGAAGATGGTGCCAGACCGGGCAATGGTTCAACGTTGGCGTCAACTCGGCGAACGTAAAAATAATAGATCAACTGTGTACTCGTCACCTCTGCGTGGGCTCTTGGCCTGCACTCTGGGCCTTCTCTCCCACACATTCCACCCAGCCAATGGCAGCTAACCCCTTTTATATGCAGGTCAAAGCCTCAAAGGGAATCCTGACCCTCTTTTTCTCCCTCTCCCATCAGCGAACCCCATCAGCTTCACCTTCAAAACAGATCCAGAATCCGCCCACTTCTCACCACCATTGTCCAAGCCATTCTTGTCTCTTCCTCGATGACCCCTAACTGGTCTCCCCGAGTCTGCCCTGTCTCTTCAGTCGATTTTCAATCAGCTGCCAGAGTGAACTTACAAAAATGGAAGCCAAGTCACGGCCCTTCTCTGTGCCAAACCCTCCTGTGGCTCCCACCTCACTGCGAACAGCCAAGTCTCATGAGACCTGCAGCCCTCACCCCTGCCTCACCTGGTTGCTCTTCTGCCCACCCACCTCCCTCTCTCCTCCCATCATACTCCCTCCCTCACAGTTCATCAACTGCACGAGCTTGCTCCCAACGGCGGGCCCAGACACCCTTCCCCAGACACCCACTCGGCTCCCTTGCTCTCCCTGTTCTTGCTCATGTGTCACTCCTTCCAAGAGGCCTCCTCTGAT